AAAAAACTAGTAATATTAAGATTTTGAGGTTGTGAGTAATTGTGAGTAATCCGGAAAAGTTTTTGAGAGTAAATCGGTAAAGACCGGTTGGCAACCCTGTATGTGATTCAAATACTGATTTGTTCGAGCAGCAGCGTGAGCTCCGAGCTGGAGAACCCACTGAGAAAAAAGTTTACGGATTCTCATTCTTTAATAATGTTCCGAATAAGATGAATATTTTTTCTATAACTGTCGTTTTTTATAAGGAGCTCGAAAAGTGTCATTTAAGGAAAGCCGACCACGTTGAAATTCATTGTACTACCGCTTTACGGTAGCGAAGGAACACGATTTGTCACCAAGCACTCCATTGATTTTTCAATACATTCCTTAAGGTTTAAGCGATGCTTGAAATTGAAAAAAATCACAGTCCCGATAATGCTCCTCATTCATTTCCATCACTTGGCGAAAGAATTACTTTAAATTCATGTAACTTACAAAAAATCAGGTATATTTGATAACTGTCACTAAATAAACTTGTAAACAACCATGGTGGAAGAATACAGGTGAAGCGGTGCGCAGGTTTTATGACGTCAACATCGGTATTGCCACGGCCTCCTATACACTGCCATGCCATTCCATGGCTTTGTTTACATTTTGTAATGATTGTCAAGAAGTTTAATTTTTATTTCCTAGTTCTATAATCATTATAAAACTCAAAATATATTTAGAAGAAAATAACAACTGCGTCAAATAACATCAAGTTATGCTCAATAATACAAGAAAAGTCACTATAGGCAGATAGACGCTTGTGCAAAAGTAATGCCAAATAAAAAAAATATTTTGTGCTTTTATACAAAAAAAGTAGGTAATTTATTTCGAATTTAGCCATGGTGTAAGGAATTTAGCCTAATATAGTTTCTCTTTGGCGTAAAAAAGATAGTGTTCATCTGAAACTGAATTTTTCCATCACAAAACTTGGAAGAGGATGTTACATCTAGGATTTAAATCTTCATACCTAGCATTGCTATCTGATAGATTGAGATCAAGATGATAGCCAAAACGTACCTAAACTTACAGAGACATTACCATTAAAAAGTTTTAGTGGCTCAGTACGGATAAAAACTGGAACTAATAAAAGGCAAATACAAATAACTAATTTAAATGTGAAACTGAAATATGTGGTGTCCCTTGTATTGTGTATAGTGGAAAAATGTTTAACCTCTTGCCAATTAATTAATAATAGGAAGTACTGACTCATTAAATATGTTTAAAAAAGCAAGAAACTCTTGCTCAAAAAGGTATACTACAAAGTGGATAAATTTTTCTGATTCCTTGAATTAAGTAGTTCATTTTAATTTATGTGTATACTCCTGTATATATATATTTCTCGATTGTCATATTTGTACTTAGGTTGTGCATTTTTGTTTTTATATTATATTTTGTCTTGATATTAGAATTTAAAAAATTTTAAAATAAAAAATTTAATTTATGAATATTTTGTTTGTTTCTTTTCCTTTGAATTTTAACTTATGTTATCTATCTTTGTTAATAAGAATGTAATTAATTCTTCAACAATAAATAATTTTGAATCGATTCAAATAAACTTGTGTATAATGTTAACGAATGCTGAACAATAAAATTAAGGTGACATGAATTATTATGATCAGTATATTTTTTTAGTCGCCAAATTTCTTAAATAATCAGTTTGAAAGTATGTAGTTACTTTTATAGATTATAAATGTAATAATTTAATTTTAAATTAGTCATCAAACATGGCCATCAATAACTTGTATGCACAGATCAATTACTTTCTTGTATGGTTGGGTGCTGGTAAACCCCTTTATGTATTTAATAAATAGAAACACTTGGCAAAACATACTTTATTTTAATAAAAAACACAGAGGTGTTATTTTAAATTGATTTATTTATGTTTAAAAATGGTTTATAGGTACATAATGTTTACTTCTTTATCTTGCTTAACACTTTATAATGTATATTTCTTGTTCTAAATTTAAACATTTAGCCCAGTCTCTTAAGGTAGTAAACCCAGGTAAAGGATAATGAACAGTTCTTAAAATCTATAAGCCTTAGGACGAATGCTTCTTAGGGAGATTGTGGATGCTATGTCATCCGAACTTCAACGAATTCTTTTTTTATTTTCATTGTATAAAACATTTATTTCACCCGGGTGAAACATTTACTTTACTTTCCTGAATTTCCACTTGAGAATTATTTTTCAACTGGCTAATTTCTTCTTTCAATGAAAGTATTTCTATATTTGATTTGTTGCATTTTTCAGTAATTTTGTTTAGTTCTTCACGAAGACTCTTAATAGTTTTCTCTAAAATAATAATTTCATTTCGGTGGTCACATCTGAAACAATAACATACAGTTAATATTGAAATAAAAGCAATTATCACTTCAAAGTTTAATATTTAATAAAAAAATTGTTTTGAAATGATTGTAATGTTAATTAGTACATGCTAAGTTGTGTAATTTTCTTTTCAAAGCCACATTTTTTGTTAATAAGGTAAATTTGTACATACGTTTCTAGTTCTGATGATACCAATATATTTTGAGTGTCTGTTTCCAAACTTTGATTCTCCTTGTCCTGGTCTGCAGTTGACAATTGTCTGGAATGCCCCGAAATATTAACAAAGCTCTCAATAAATGTTTGTCGATATCTTTTTGCCTGCCTTCTTAATCTATCATCACTTTCTGCAGACAATTGTCTTTTTTTCAATGGGAGATTTTCAGTAGGAACTGCTGTTTGTTTTAAGTTTCTGCCAGTCTTAGTGGAGTAGTTTAATAGCCTCTGTTGTAAGGGTATTTCAAAACTATCCTTCGAAAAATGTATGGAACAAATACAAGCTTAAAAAAGAAACAAGACATAAAATGAATCATATTCAAATTAGGTTTGCAAAAATCATACCATTTTTCAAATTAATTGTATCTTTTCACCCGCAACCGTCGACCCAGGCTTTGGCTATATCTGTTTTCGGAAATCCAAAATACTTAATATTTGTTCCCTTTGAATAGTTCTTGCTGCCAAACACTGCACAACCTGGCATTTTGTTAGTAACTACACACCCTAAAATATAGTAGATTTTAATGTACCAATAATATAATAATAATAATGATATATTAAAATAACAATAATGAATAGAAACTATTTTTTTTATCTTTAAAATACAACAAAAATGTTACATAACCTAACTTTATATCAATTACACTACCAACTTAATAAGAAATTAATTTAATAATACGTACCAATAATTTCTAAACAGGCCTATTGATATATAGAAATGATATTAAATATTAAGATAAATATATCTATAAACTTCTAAACACTACCAGGAAAATATTAGAATAACTTTAAAAATCGCTTTTTAACATTGGAGACATAGGCAAAACAAAAATATGCTCCGAAGGTGACGTCATGCGCAAGACTGACCAAATTTCGTACCGCTTACCGCTTCACCTGTATTCTTCCACCATGTAAACAACTAGAATGAAATGCAAAAATATCATAGCCTACTAGTGTAAAGAGGACAGCCCTCGTAAAAAATATTGTACCCTCTACAATTCAAACCAAATTTCACAAATTTCAATTGGATTGGTAAGCAGTGTTATATCTTTTAAATGTAAATTTAATAAATTGTAACTGAATAAATTTGATTTGATAACCTTAATTTTCATTTGAATTTCGTAAAGTTTGAGCTCGGGCGAATTGAGAATTATTGGTTCATGACTTGCAAATTCAGCTAATTCAATTTACTTTGTAGGTTTCTGCATTCGTTCATTTCAAGCGATCATGGCTTGTAATAAACATATCTTCGGTTTGGAAATTAGGGTAGAAACATACGATTGACCTACTTTTATTCTTTTCGCGATTTTTAGTTTTTTTAACAGCCGTTGATCAAATAATATTTCAGGCACGTCGCGGACCGTTAACGACGACATTTTAAAAGGTTGCCATATTGAAATTCTGTAACGGTGAGTTGGCTTCTTAAAAGCCAAGGCCGTACTACGTTGAGGTTGTTTTAGTCGGAATAATGATGAATTTAAAAACAGAGTTTGATATTTTTTAAAGTGGATATTGTTATCGAAGCATATCATTATTATCTCTGTCATTATGAAGACATGGACTGGACTGGTCGTTATAGGATGTATAAGACAAGTGATCTAATATTTCATAATAAAATGTGTTTCTGTTCTGTGCTAAAAAACTGTAAAACACTATGTTCACCATAATAAAAGACATCATCAGAGATAATATCCTTTGAAGGAACATGTCTATACAGATATCAGACAAGCACTACTCGCCCTGGACAGACTACAAATTTCCTCAGAATTTTAGTATTGGAATGTCACTATAGTATAGTCGAAGTAGATTTTAAGGTGGAACTAATTCCTACAAAGACGAGGTTTGAATTTTTGAGCTCATTACTCATATCCTTTCAACATACTAAAAGTCTAGAAAAATGTGAGTGTGCCAAATGCGTTTTTTGGCCGCCATCTTAAATTTTTTTTTAAAATTCGTGAAAAATTGTGTGTAGTATCAAATAACGGGAAATTTTATGCTAAAAAAAAAACAGATTATGGATTAAAAAGAATAAAAATGAACACCAAAATAGTATGGAAAAAACTAATTATATACGGTATGTAAAAATATGTAGGCGAAACTTCAAAGTTCGCTAAGTTATCTGCCAAAGGTATACAAGGAATTATAAGTGCAAGTAAAATTCGAAAAGACAATATCCATGAGTTATTTGAACCATTTCCTGATGACGCCGTGAGAGTCAATGTTGAATGCCGCCGTGTATATACAAATCCAAATAATATCCACAAAGATGCAAAATTAAAGTTATCCACTCAGGATGAAGCACAAGGTAGTTGCAGGAGTACTCTGGTCGAACATACCAACATTTTTATTCACAGAACAATGTTTATTTTGTGGTCGCTTTGTTACTGATCGTGAGAATCGGAATAAATCTGGGGTTATACAGGTCCGTACAGTAATGTTTCAAAAATCAGTTATAAAGGCATGTAACTCCAGAAATAATTTATGGTCAGCAAAGGTTCAATCCCGTTTGCTATTAGTTAATGACTTGCCAGCAGCAGATGCCATTTACCACCAGGCATGCAGCGTAAATTTTCGAAAAGGTGACCCGGTCCCAAAAAAGTACCAATATAATCCCAAAGACGAATTACGTTACAAACCTCTTGGTCATCCTAAGGAGAAAGACAAGCTAGATGCTTTTTTGAAAGTTTGTAAGTTGTTTGAAGAAAATGATGAGCTGGTTTGTGCCCAGCAGCTGGTTACTAAAATGAAAGACTTTCTACCAGTTGGTAGTGAACCATATAGTGAACGCTACATGCTGCAAAAGCTTAAAGAAGTTTTTTTTGGGAATATCATCGTTTTCTCGAAGTATGGATTGCCTAATATATTAACTATGGGTGAAACAGTGGCTGATATTATTTTGGATTACCAGAAGAAGAAAAAATTAGAAGACCCTGAATAAGAGAAATAGAATCTAATTGAAGCAGCAGCAAAACTGATCAAAACGGAAACCAAACTATTATCAACTACAACAAAGCACTATCCCTCGTCATCAGAGATTGCATCTGAACAGGATAATAAAAAGTTGTTGACATCAGTTTTGCAACATTTCTTGGATATTATCATTGGTGCTAAGGCAAGTGATTTGAAGAAGATTTCCATTGGACATGCTTTGGTGCAAGCTTCAAGACCAATGTTATGTTCTTGACGGTGGTGCACTACTACACAAATTGCCATGGCCAAGAACTGGGAAGTTTTCAGATGTGTTAGAACTATATAATAGTCATATAGCTAACCAATATAAAGTTGTGACAGTTGTATTTGATGGCTATACCACTTCCAGTATTAAGGCTGTTGAGCATCAGATACGCACAAAAAAAACGTCGGTAACAGTTAAATTTACCGAGAGCTCTCCACTTCTTATTGGCAAAGCACCTTTTCTTGCTAATAATGAAAATAAACAGTGCTTTATTACCATGCTAGGAAAACACTTAGAAGCCAATGGCCACACTGTGATTCATGCTACAGATGATGCTGACACACTGAAGAAAAGCATGTAACAGTTGTTGCTGATGACACCGACATTCTGGTACTTTTAATTTACCATAACACACGAAATATTTGCTTGCAATCATCTACGTTCAGTGATAGAAAACGTGATATTAAATCGATGCAACATATATTTGGTGAAAAGGGGTGCATTCTCTTTCCTCATGCTATAACCGGATGCGATACCATAAGCTCCTTATTTGGGAAAAGTAAATCGGCAGCATATCGACATTTTTGGAAATGTGAACAATTTAGCATTTGCGCTACTGTGTTTGGAACAGAAAATGCAAACAGAAAGGAACTTACAGACATTGGAACCAAATATTGATATCGTTGTACGGTGGAAATCCAAACACAGATACCTTAAATCTACTACGATATAATCTCATGAAAAAAATTAATTGAATTCAATATTGCAAGATTGCCATCAACTGAAGATGCTGCTGTTCATCACCTTCATCGCGTACATTTACAATGCCTTTATTGGATAACTATGAACACCAATGTTGCCAACCCCGAAGAGTGGGGTTGGAAAAAAGTAGGAGATCGACTACAGCCCATAATATGCGAAATGAGCCCTGCACCAGAATTATTACTAAACACAATCCGCTTCACCAGCAAAACTTATACAAATGAGCCGTGTGGTAGTGGTAGATGCACTTGTCGACGGTATGGTGTGGAATGTACTAAGATATGCTGCAACTGTTCTGGTTGCGATTGTACAAATAGTGCCTCGAAAGAACGTGTTGAAAATAAATAAAATTTTCTAGATAAGCTTCCTATTTTTCGCCCACCACTTTATTATTTTTTATCTTTTTTTTCATTATCATAATCTTTTTCAGCATAAAATTTCCCATTATTTGATACCACACATGATTTTTCATGAATAAAAAAAAATGGCGGCCAAAAAACGCATTTTGCACACTCACATTTTTCTAGACTTGTCACTAAGCAAAGGGTCAAGCAACCAAATATTTTTGGACCTGGATCTTCCATTGGTCATCACAAATTTAATTAAAGAACATTCCCTTGTAAAATTATAGGAAGGTAATCCTGACAATAGAACAGCAAACTAATATAGGCTTTCTCAAATTGAATGGCATACTTTATAGTTGCAGAGAAGACCATACTGAAGGTGTTCTAGTCTTTATATTTAAATTAAGAATAAATAATAATTATTGTAAAATATTAATTTCGACCGCTGGCGCCTTGGGATCCGACTGGATTTGGAGCATCGAGATAGAAATAAGTAAAGACGACATATATACACAATTTTTTCTACACCCAAATGAATATTAGCTTATCTACGCACAAACTACAAAACGAAAAAGTATGCCATTGCGTTCACCTAAACGGATATATTTCATATCCATTCTACCTAGTAAGAACACCACAGAAATATACCAATCACAGTTCATATTCACCCGGTTAGTATTATTTTTTAAATTTTATATAAGTGACAATTCTGTCAAACTAATTGTTTGTATATTTTTTAGTTATTAAGATTAAATATATACGTGATAATAAGTTATTTTTGTGTAGAATCGATAAATAATATTATTTCTATTTTTATTTCGTCGTCTACAAATACACCTCAAATTTTAATCAAACTATATGAAACTAATTTAATTAGGAATATTAAAACTAAAATCGTAAGTGTGGCGATGGAGGTGAGGACATTGCGTTTGTCTTTCACGCGAGAGGCCCGGGTTTAAATATGGGCTGAGGACTAATTAAATTAAATCTTTTTTTTCATGTTTCTTTATTTTATAAATTAATAGAAGTCATAAATTATTGTAAAATTAGTTATTTTGTCTTAATAACTCAAAATAATATTTAAAATTTGTAGATCTTCGATACTGGGTCGTAGAAAATAATATTACATCTCGAGTGAATTGTCTATATCTTTACTCTTGTTGCACAAACTATTATTGCGGTGACAGATGGACGCACTTAGCCATGTCAAGAATGACGAAAAGTGAAATCAAAATGGCGACTTAAGAGTCGTACTTTGATTTATTTGTCAATAATTTGATATTTTAAATTTTAAGATTGACGAAATGAAAATGGTCTTATATCATTTAAATGGAACTATTTAAAAAAATGGCATTTATTTTTATTAAAACTGACTAGCTCCACCAGTGTTGCCAACCTTACAGTAAGCTTTTCCCCACTTCTTACTTTAAAAATTTTTTCTTTTATGAAAAAATTCCGTCTCGTTAACAAAATCGGTTTTATACTAGAAATACAAGCATGTACATATTTTTCAAATAATATTTATTAACAGAAAACGAACGTACATAACAAAGTATAGAAAGTATATTCTAAAAAACATAAATCTTTTAACAAAACTTTAAAAATATATTAAAGAATTAACAATTTTAATTTAATTTATTTTAAAAATCATAAATTTTTTACAATTTGAACACAAGTAAAAAATTCCCGTTTTGTGTTGAAAATTCCCGAAAAACGGAAAATTTCCGGTTGGCAACACTGAGCTCCGCTAGCTCGAGTTTGACATATGAAAGGTGCGACCACTTTCAGTATCTTCATAGATTCTCCTCTTTATTCTATCTCAATGTTTTGGAGCTAGGAACTAACATAACACAGGTCATCTTTTCCCAGCAATATTTTTGTATACCATTGGAGCTTTTGTGACCTTATTTGTTATTATCTTTTCATGTTTATTCCAAAGAAGTTTGTTGTTCATAATTATCCCTAAATTTTACCCCATTTTCCAATCTATATCTATTTCTATGTTGACTCTCAGTAAGCAAAAAGAGTCGATGCACCCATTGGCGACGGAAGGGGGTGGGGTTGAGGTGCTAAGCCACCTCCATGGCGAGGCTTAGCCCCCCATGGTACCAAGGTGCCGGGTGCGGGCACAGTTTTTCGGCTATGAGAAGAATTAAAACTTGGCTAATCAAGATAGATTTACGCCGCTTTCCATACTTCACATCGAAAATGAAGGAGCCTTGGAAATTATTGCAAAGAATAATAGAAAAATGGTCTTAATTTAATTTTGAATGTTTTTTTATATCAACCTGGTACATACATATTATATATTTACATGTACAGGGTGGGCCACTTAAAAGTTCCACCCCCCCTTATCTTCGTTATTCATTGAGATATCGAAATAATTTTTTTCCTGTTTGAAAGACTAGAACAAAAACTTTCTTACGATGGATTCAATTATTCTGTGACGTCATGGTTTACTTCCGCTTTTTCCGGAAATAACAGAACAGAATAACATTATTTTTTATTTTTAAATTGAAACCAACTTTTTTTATTGTAAATTTGGATTTCTGTGACATTTTTTGTATAATAATCGTGTATTGAAAATTTTCTGACAGCTTTCAGAATGGCCGCCATATTGGATAATACTTTTTCTAAACATGTTACTATTAATTCGTTTATGAAAAAAAATATAGGAATGTATTATCTTCATAAAATCTTTGTTATCTTCAAAATTCCCATTTACCGTATACCAGTGGCGTATCTAAGCATTTTTAATATTAGCAAACCGTTCCTGCATCTGTTCATATGTCTTTCGTAAAAAGAAGAATGTTCAGTGTCAGCGCCGTTCATTCAAATATCCTTAAGTAGTAAATATGTTTTTCTAAAATCGGTCGCCCCTATCATATGGCCGCTCGGGACAGCTGTCCCCCTAAGCTACGCCACTGAGACCTGCAACAACAAATTGTACTTTTTTTCTCCAAATACGTCCATTCAAATAATATTACCCTTTTGTAAGTAATTTTGTAACAACCCCTTTGAATCCTTTGCCGAGACATGTGCAAAAGTTATGAAAGTTTATTATAAAAAAAAACAAGGAAATACAGAACAATATATTAACAGTTGTAATGGGTAATTGTTTCAAATAGTAATCTGCTTGGAAGAGGAAAATTGCGAACAAGCAGAGAATTTTTGAAACCACGTATTTGTAATTAACTTGAGAAACTTATCACATTAAACTTTTTGGTAAACTAATGTTATAGGATAGAAATATAAAGCAGGAAAATCTACAAAGCAGAAAAGCGTCACTTCAAAGTTTCATTTGCAACTTTGACAACCATTTAACCTCGTTGACAAAGGATTTTAGAGATTGTTTTACGATTGACAATGTAGAAACAAGATACGAAGCATAGGTTAAGACATCTTTCAAAATAATTCGTACATTCACTCTCGAAAAAGAGGAACGCTAATTATATAGACTCAGAAATCAAAAGACAATTTACATCTAAATCGTCCTTTGACGTTGATTATTCTGCTCTGATGTTTAAATTGATTTCTGCGAAGAGCTAAAATATGTTTCCTCAATGTCGACATAACGTAAAGATTGGAGAGTGTTCCTTTCACGTGGAGAAGTACAGTTTTAAAGATTCTTAATAATAAAAACTTATTGTTTCCCTT